CATTGCATTCCATCTTCCGGATGGCCACGGTGGAAACAGCCGCCTGGTGCTGGACCACGGAGGTGCTTTCTGCTGTGTGCTGTGATGAGGAGCGAGCATCCTGTGGATCACTCTGCTTCTCCAAACGATGTGGGATTGTTTCCTCGAGGTTGTTTCCCAAAAGTTAAATCACTGGATTCCAGAGTTCTTGCAACATATTGGCACAGAGATGTTTACACAGATCAAACACATTATGACCCCAAGTGGGGTTGTCCCTTGGGGCTCATTTATTTGGTTGGATTCAGTTTTCGTTGGAAATGGCCCTCTGTGGAGGTGGTCAGGAAGGGAATTCCGACCCAAAAAACAAACCCAGCCCATCCCTGTGTTCACCCAGAGCCGGGTGGTGGGGATACAGAAAGGGCCTGGGAGGGATGCCAGGCCTGGCTCGTACCCACCCCACCATTTCAGCCAGCGCCGTCTTCCCGGAGGACCTGACATCCTAGCCTAGACTGCAGTGTAGATGGGGACACAGCACGTTGATTTGAAAAGTGGACTGACTTAGAGATTTCCAAGGCAGAAATCCAGTGAGCCCCAGGACACCTGTGGTTAATTCATTCAGCATTTGTTAAGTGCCTGTTAGGCACCACACATGTTGATCAAAACAGATGTGATCCCACCCATATGGATTCACTGACTCCAAGGGGAGACCACCACGGGCCGCATCACCCAAAGGTAAAATTACAGTGATAGGGAACCTCTGCCAGGAGGGACTCCGAGAGCCCGTGGCAGGGCAGTCTGACTTGGTCCCAGAGGTCAGAGCAGGCTTGCGGAGGAGACCGTGCTACTGCTTGGTGAGCTGCGCTTTGGGGGAGGAGATAAAGGGAGAGGTGGGGGAACTAGGGGAAATGGTACTGGCTGGAGGGAAAGGAGGCTTTACAGAGCCTTCAGGCCACGCATGAGAATTTGGGCCCCTTCCCCTAAGGGCCAGGGGTAGCAATGAAAGGGCTCTGAGCTGGGCAAGAGTGGCCAGACCAGATTTGTATTTCAGAACTCAGCTTTGCTGTCATTGCTGGTGGACAGGGGCTGGTAGGGAAACCAGAGGACAATGGGGAACCCACTTAGGGTTGAGCAGCCAATCAACAGGTGTTCTCAGAACCCGCAGGGAGCTCGCTTCATTCTCGGCACTTAGAGGGCTGCAGAAAGGCAGGCTGGACCCCTGGACCGCTCGTGCCCTCTGTCACCAGAGGGGCATCATGGCCAGGACCCAAGGTCAATCAGCTGGCATCCTTACCTCACCACAGCACAGCCAGGAATGCAAAAGCCCAAGAATGGCATCCGAACAGCCAATGCCTGGCTCCGATTCGGCCTTGCTCAGCTAAAGCCTCAGCACTTTACCACTTAACCCTTCCTTTGCAAACGCTTCTAACTCAGCCTACTACTGAGCTGAAGCAGTCCATTAGAAAGGGCAGGACTGCGGGTCAGTGGAAATTTGACCCGGCAAGACAGGGGAAAAGGTCCTGAAATCAACATCATAACACAAAAGGCATTTTGTTCAGGGCCATTTAGGAAAGCGCAGCTCAGGCTTGGGTGGAAGCAGGGGCTGGCATGGCCAGAACAGGGAGGAGCCGTTGAGGCCGAAAAAAAGGACTGAGGCTGCAGGGTAGGAGGGATCAGGTAATGCAGGAACAGGGGCCCCACGTAGAAAGGTCAGGGCAGTTGGCCGGGCGCGGTGGCTCACGTCTGTAATCCCAGCACTTTGGGGGGCCAAGGTGGGCGAATCACGAGATCAAGAGATCCAGACCATTTTGGACAACATGGTGAAACCCTGTCTCTACTAAAAATACAAAAATTAGCTGGGCTTGGTGGTGTACGCCTATAGTCCCAGCTACTCAGGAGGCTGAGGCAGGAGAATCCCTTAAACCAGGGAGCTGGAGGTTGCAGTGAGTCGAGATTGCGCCACTGCACTCCAGCCTGGCAAGAGTGAGACTCTGTCTCAAAAAAAAAAAAAGAAAAAAGAAAGATCAGGGCAGTCTCAAGGGACCAAACTTACAGCTCAGAGCCACCAAATGCTAATATGAATGAGGTCTCAGGGATCCCAGCACCCAGGATGAATGAGGTCTGATGGGTGGGCAGGGCTGCTTCCAGGAGGCTGCTGAAACCTCCAGGCCCGGAGGCGAGGGAGGCCGGCCTGCGGAGGGCTGTAGGATTCGGTCTGGGGCCTTCTGGTGCTAAGGCTGCCATGAATATGGTGGGTCAGGAGGGACAGGAGGGAACCGCCCTCTTTCCCTTCCTCCCTTCCCGCCTCCCTTCCATCCTTTCCTTCCTCTTTCTTTCCCTCCTTCCTTCCCCACACTGGCTTTCCATGAGCCTGCAGAGACCAAGCATCTGTTTAGCCTTCTCTCCATAAAGGGACCCCCTGCCAAGGGTTTTGGCTGGGAGACCAAAATACCTGGTGCCTGGAAGGGAGGAAGGGGCAGGGTCTTGGATGGGGGGTGACTTGCAAAGGGGACTCTTTGACCAGTCAGTCCCCCTTAGTCCTTGGACCAGTCATCCCCCCTTGGTCCTTGGACCAGTCCCCCTTGATCCTTGGTAGTGACCTCCTACTCACACAAACTCCATTCTGCTAATCCTCACCAGCTGTCTGACGTGGGTGGGCGGGGATTAGTGGCTTCATTCTGTATATGGGAAACTGAGGCAAGAGGCACCTTATGTCTAAGCCTTAGTGTTCCTCATCTGTAAAATGGGAAAAATGGAACAAACCCTCTCCCGAGGTGGTTGCAATAAGGATTAAGAGAGATGCGTGGCCTAAAGACTGGGCCACGATGGGGCAGCTTCAATGTGAAAGAGTCAGGATTTATCGCAGGCCTCCTGCTTCCCAGCCTGATACGGTGATCATTCTTCCATCCTGCCTGGCTTATGAGAGGCACCCAAAAAGTTAGACAAGGCATTCCCCTTCACCCGCCCCAAAGAGCCAAGGATCAGGCGTAGGCTCTCCGACCCCCAGCCCAGAATTCTTTCCAGCATTGCCCAGTGAAATTCCAGCGCCCTTGGCTGTACAGGAAGATGCTGCTGTCCTTGCCCCACCCAGACCTATTGTCCAAGGAAGTGGGAATATCAGGTGATGTTGAGGGTGTGGAGATGAACTGCGAAGCCTCTAACCCAGGTCCAGGCCAGACCCTGCAGGCCCTGCTCCAGCCTGCAGTTTGAGAGGGGCAGGTGGAGGCGGAGGCTGTCTTTTGACAGACATCTAGCAGACTCGTGCTGAGGACCCAGTGTGTGCAGGATGAACTCGCCAGCTCTGCCCTCCAGGACAAGGGGAGGAAGGGGACTGTCTTGATCACCTACTGGGTACAGGTTAGGGTCATCAGTCAGGATGCTAGGCACAGGCTCCATCCACCTTTGGAGCAGCCAGGATTGGGGAAGTGGGTGTTTCTGAGGGAGGTCTGGCCCTGTCTGCTGCCCACACTACTGTACATCCAGGCAGATGGTGACACCAGCCGCATGCAAGGGCTGGGAGGGCTTCCTGGAGGAATGGGCTTAGCGGAGCACTCTTCCAGCAAGCATGGTTTGAGAGTCTGCTGTGTGCTCCATCTGAGCGGTGAGTCTGGCACTGGGGAGACACAGTGCCCACGCGGACTCCACATGGAGCTGGAGGCCTTGCATGCAGGCACAGGAGCCTGCTGCTAGTGGAGAGCCTTGAGGGTTCCAAGTGGGGCGGGAGGGATGATGGTGTTTCTAGCAGCTTTGCCTGATAGTAGCAGGTGGAGTGGGATGATGCAGGCATGGGGAGACTAAGGCAGACAGGCCAGTGGGGACATCTGGGAAGGCAGAGGCAGGAGCTGGCCTAGGGCTGGGCAGTGAGGAAGAGGAGCCATGTGTGAGGAGACACAGATGTGTGCGGGGGGGGGGGCGGGCGAGGTGGCTCACACCTGTAATCCCAGCACTTTGGGAGGCCAAGGAGGGCAGATCACCTGAGGTCAGGAGTTCAAGACTAGCCTGGCCAACATGGTGAAACTCCATCTCTACTAAAAATACAAAAATTAGCCGGGCATGGTGGCGCATGCCTGTAATCCCAGCTACTCAAGAGGCTGAGGCAGGAGAATGGCTTGAACCTGGGTGGCAGAGGTTGTGGTGAGCCAAGATCGTGCCATTGCACTCCAGCCTGGGCAAAAGAACAAAACTCCATCTCAAAAAAAAAAGATGTGTGCAGAGGCCACTGGCAGAGCAGGGGGCATTTGAGGGCACCTCTGGGTCAGTGGTCCTGCAGCTCTCCCATGCCATGTGAGTCCCAGGGGCTCCCCTTTGCACTACTGGCCTTCTCAGTGACCATCCAGGCAGCCAGTGTGAATTGAACACTTACTTGGTGCCGGCCACTGGGTTCTTGTCCCTGAGCCAGAGATGCTGCCCGACCCTGGCCGGACTGAGGAGGGCTGGTCTGGCTTCTGGGCCAGGCCCTCCTCTCCACTTCCACCTCGGCTGGCTGGCCACACCCTCCCCATGGCCCAGGAAACCACCACCCTTGGGCTGCAGGTCAGAAGCGACCCTAACAGGCACCTTGTCCATCCAGCCCCCATTCCCCACCCCTCTGTGCAGCACCCTCCAGGGCCTCCAGGCTCTGTTTATGTTACTCTAAAGGGACAGGAAGCTCATGACCAACCAGCAGCCCTTCCAGCTCTGCTCAGAGGACAAAACACCAGCCTGGCCTTAGCTGTGGCTCTGGCGCCTCCCACATCAATAGGCCCTGCCTTCCTGGGTCCTGAAGGCTTGAGCCCTGGCTGCAGAAGGAGACAGCCCAGATCAAACCCAGTTTGGATGCAGCCTGGGCCCACAGAAGCCTCCCTGATGAGGCTGGAGGGCCAAGCCTATGGTGGTACGAACAGAAGTGTTCGTTCTTGGTGTGTTTTGGAAGCCCCCCTCATCTCCCACCTGGCACCCTGACTGGGGCACTGGCCCTTTAAAGCCAATCAAAGGCTGGCTTTTGGGGGGAAGCATCCTAGATTTCTGCCATCTACTTACAAGCCTGGGCCAAGGAGGGGGGCCACCTCAGTCCCCGACAGGGCATTGGAAGGGCAGGTGGAGCTGGTGGCATTGATTGCAGTAACCTGATCCCGAGAGGGAGGCGGTCACAGCGGCAGCAGCACAACGAGGAAGCTGCCTGCAGCTGAGGGCTGCACTGGGAAGAGCTGGGGCTGGGACCCGGTCGGCAGCTGCAGCCTCCTCTCCCGGCCTATCTATTTTTAATGAGCTCCCCTGGCTTCTGCATCCGGCAGGACACTGAAAGACAGGCCCAGGCGGTGGAGGCCAAAGGCCCCAGCCCTGCCTTGAGCCCTGGCCCCCCAACCCTTCCGGGCATGAGAGGGCAGCCCTGGGGCCCCGCAGCCCCCCAGCCGGGCAGGGCTCTCCATGCAGCTGGTGCTGAAGATGGATTCGAGCCCAGACAATGACAGCTGGTTGGAGGATCAGTGGGAGCGCTGGTAGGGGCTACCGGGGCTGGTGGGGGTGGGGACCGAGTTGGGGTGAGCTCCGTCAAGCTCAGGGTCTCTGTTTGGTCTGATGGAGGTGAGCGGCAGGGAGTCTGGGCCTCCTAGGTTCCCCTGGGGGCTAAGCTACTACCTCTCCTGGGTGACCTTGGACTAGTGGGTTTCCCTTGCTCTGTGCCTCAATTTCTTGGTCTTCTCTGGGGAGAGGCTCATACATTCTCCCCAACTTCCCAATGTTCCACCCCCAGCAAGCCAGGCAGAGTACCCAGGACTAGGGGTGAGCAAGAGACAGACTGCCTCGCAGTGGCTGCTCCAGCCCTGCATTCTGCAGTGGGGACTCAGGGCTGGCCTGGGGAGAGGGTTCTGGTGGAGCTGGTTAGTGTTCTGGTGCCCTGGTGCTCTGAGCTGTCTCTTGAGCTTACAACAACCTCTGGTCCCATCTGGGGCTTTTCCTGACCCTATCTGTGCAGCCTCCTGTTCAGGGGCCTTACGTTGGATAAGGAGATTTTGTGGTTGAAGAGATGAGACCAAGTGCACAGTGTGAGGCTGTAGTTCTTCCTGGAACAGGCTGAAACTACCCACAGTGACACCAGATTTTCCTTTGCTTGTTCCCTAGGCTCCAGGGGCATGGGTCTTCCTGGAATGGGGCGTGGGGCACTCCTTTGAGGCTGCGGCCGGCACCTCAGGTCTCGCTACTGTAGGGATTGCACCAGGAGCTCCCCTACTCCAGGCTTGCTTAGAGGCTCTTCTCAACTCTGCATTCTCCATGGTGAACTTGGCACCTGCTTTGACCCTGGGAGGAGGCTCTGACCAGTTGGGCCTTCTAAGCACTGCCTGCTGGTTGGCAACAGAATGACAACTCCCAAGGAGGAGATGGAGTAACCTGGAGCCTCCTTATCCACTGCGACCGTAGGAGGACTGCCTTTTGGCATGAGCCCCACGCTCTTTCCCTGCCTACTGGCTACCCACTGCGTTGGTGCAGATGGACCCCAAATCCTGTCCTTTGGGGGCTGTGCTTGGCCTGCCAGAGGCTGCCTCCTGGAAGAGGTAACAGGAGATGTGAGCAGGCATTGCAGTGCCCCTGAGTTGTAACTTTGGCTTCCTGTCCCCACCAGGCTCACGCATGACATCAGCCTGGAGGAGTTTGAAGATGAAGACCTCTCAGAGATCACTGATGAGTGTGGCATCAGCTTGCAGTGCAAAGACACCCTGTCCTTACGGGTAAGGGTGGGCTCCCAGAAGGAGCTCCTGAATAGGGTGGCAGGATGGCTAGGGACGGGGGTAAGGGCATCCCCCTATCTACAAAGGGGTTCTCAGGTCTATGCTGGCACCCTCATGAAATGATGTGCAAGAAACATAGGTATACTGCTTGGCATGTCTCAGGTGTACAATGAGAATTTTATTTATTATTATTATTATTACTGCTGCCAGGGACTAAAGCAGGAAGTAGCTCCTTCAACTGCCCACAAGACGAGAGAAGCCAGGAGCTCTTGAGACCTAGGGCAGTAACAATTAGGGCCAGACTTAAGGGAGACTCAGGGCTACCCTAAATCCTTTTGGGAGCAGCCCTGGCAGAGGGCCTGAGGCAGACAGGGTGGAGTCTGGTGGAATCTGCAGTGCTTTGGGGCAGAAAGAAACAGCCAAGGTACCCCTGGAATAACTCCCGTGGCTGCTGGCTGCTATTACACCAGACAGATGGCACCCCACCGTCTCTCAGACCCTCCTTGGCCCCTGAGTCCTAAAGGCCCCCACTGAGGGGTTTACCCAGCTGCTGGTTGGGCCCCTTGGCTTTGTCATAGGGAAGATGGCTCTCTCCTGTCCCTAAAGATCTGAATGCTGCCAGGAGGTTTCTGGCACCTGGGGAGCTGGGGTCAGATAGGGATCCCCACTATGTCTTTTTAGAGCAGGAAGAAGGGGTGGCTAGCCAGGAAATGGAAGACAGAACACAGGGCTAGGTTTTACAGCCCAGAGCTCCTCTCAGCCCCCAAGAGGGCAGGTAGCTAGATATGATGTCGGGAGAGTGGTTACCATAGGAGCATGTGGTGTGCCTTGGGGAGGGGGTGCCTCTCTCTGTGTTGACCTCCTGCTACCCCCAGAGACTCAGTAAGCTCTGCCAGGCAAGAGGAAACCAAGGAGTGAGGATAACCCCCAGTCCCCAGTACCCCAACCTTCCACCCTCCAGCCAGGTGAGGAAGAGGCAGAGGCCTCTAGATTTGGGGAATGGTCTCAGGGCCCTGACTTAGCTTCTCAAAGGTCAGGCTGTTCTGGACTCATCCTGCCCTCTCCCCCAGCTGCACTAGCAGAGCCTTGGAGAGGGCGGCCCCCTATCTAGGCAGGGCCCCCAGGCACTACTAGGCCAGAGGTGTGCCCCTGAGGGGCCGCAGACCAGCTCCAGCGGGCTTCACACGCGTTCCAGTGAGTCCTCCGCTGTCTTGGAGGCTGGGAGGCAGTAGCATTGTCTCCACTCAACTGATGAGGTGGTCTGAAGGGCCAGGGGATCTGTCCAAGGTGCCAGGGAGCTGGCGGCAGAACTGGAGCTAGGATGGGGCTTTGCACCCTCAAGGCAGGCTCGTGGAGGGCCGATCTCGGGCTGGAGGGGCCTAGGCCGGCGGGCTGAGGGTGGGGCTGCCACCACCTTGGTTCCGGGGCCCTGCTCGCCCCTTCCTCTCGGCGTCCTCTTCCCCGCCCTCTCAGGTCTCCGCCGTTCCTTGCCTGGCTGAGCCTCAGTTTAACCAGTTTTCCTCACCGCCCCTTCAAATACTATTTCTCCCGCCCCCATCCCTTGGGGGGCCTGGAACTCCTTGGCGACCACTGAGTCCCCATAGCAACAGCGGTGACTTCACTCTGGGCTCGGCTTACAACCCCGGTGAGGTCACCGGCCGTTGCCAAGGGAACGGGAGGGTGCAAGGAGTCGGAGTGGGGACAGTAGTGGGGGTGCAGGCCGCCAGAGGCATGGCTGGAGTGGGGAGACGGTGGCTTCGAGCTTCCTTGTTGGGGGCGGGCGGGAGCACCCCTGTCTCTGGCGGCCCCCATTCCGCTCAGCGGCCTTCGTTCCCCCTTCGCGCGGCGGAATGGACTCGCCTGGGCGGGGGGCGGTGCAAGCGGCCTCGGCCCCGCCCAGGCCCCGCCCCCTGACGCCCCTCCGTGCGCCGCGCAGCCCCCGCGCGCCGGGCTGCTGTCTGCGGGCGGCGGCAGTGCGGGGAGCCGGCTGCAGGCCGAGATGCTGCAGATGGACCTGATCGACGCGGCAGGGGACACTCCCGGGGCCGAGGATGACGAGGAGGACGACGACGAGGAGCGCGCAGCCCGGAGGCCGGGAGCGGGGCCGCCCAAGGCCGAGTCCAGCCAGGAGCCAGCGTCCCGCAGCCAGGGCCAGGGCCTGGGCCCAGGCAGCGGAGACACGTACCGGCCCAAGCGGCCCACCACGCTCAACCTCTTTCCGCAGGTGCCGCGGTCTCAGGTGAGGCGCCGAAACGGAGGGGGCGGTGCCCTGGGCCGCTGGAGATGTGAGGGGGAGCGCGGAGGGACTGCAGCGGGAGGGGCACCCGCGGGTCCGGTGCCTGGGGACAGCGCCTGCATAGAGGCCGCAGTGGCTCCTTCCCAGGGGTGGGCTCTGAGGAGCAGGCAGATCCGTCCTTAGGAAAAGGGCTAAGTTCATGCTGGACTTGGAACCTTGAGGAGGGATTGAAGGAGGGAAGGACTGGAGTTAGGAGAGGAGTAGGGAATTAAGAGAACAGAGCTTTGAGGGGTTGGGTTTGGAGCGTGGGACCTCAGGCTGTGACAGGGTTTCTTCTTTAGGGTATGGGGTTCCTGGTGAAAGTGGGCCAGGAGCAGGGCCTGGAGGAAAGGGCATCTGAAATGGTCAGCAATGGGGAGGCTATGGGAGATTATGGCGAGGTGGGGACAGGGAACTCAGGAGCTGCAGCCAGTTTAAGATCTGGGCAGCTGGGAATTCCCAGAAGGCAGGGGAGAGGAATGGGGGATGGAGCTGTTTGGCTGAGTTGGGGGCCTAGGGCCCCTGGGAGGGTGGCCGGATGCCAAGGAGATTTGAATAGGGTTGGGGGAGCTGGCTGTGGCCTTTTGTCTTCCAGGACCATTGGGAGCAGTGCACGGAAGTTGCTCCTGGGAAGTGGGGTGGCTGGGGCTGCTGGGGCTGCAGGGAAAGTCTTGGTCCCTTTCCCGGGATCCTGTGAATGGCTTTTGGCAGCCCAGTTCAGTAACATCAGGGCTTTCGAGAGCGCTCCCAGGGGAGGGAGCCTCAGTGGAGTGGAGGAAGCCTTGTGTGGGCATTGTGGGGAGGGGTCCTGTGGCAGCCCAGGAGATCCAGGAAGGAGGGCTGCTGACAACTGCCTCTGTCACTCCTCAGTCACGTGCCACTGTGGCAGGGGGTGCAGGAAAACTCTGTTATGGATTTGTCACTGGGATGATTCATCCCGGTCGCCTAGGCCAGCTGCTGGGGAGACCCTTCCTTGTGCTTTTTCCAGGTCCCCACCCCTTCTAGGCCATAACTTCAAAAGCTCCAGAGCAGAGAATTACCTGTCTCTGACTTGTGCTGGATTGGAGCATTTGTCAAGTAACCCTCAGTGTCAGGGAGTGGGGGACTGACTGTGTCTCCAGAGAGCTCCCACTTCTCTTCTTCCCCACAGTCTCCCCCTCTTGCCACCACACACACTGGCCATCGTCACCTTTGTTAAGGCTGATAAGAACATCTCCCTGAGGGCTGGCCAGCTTCCCTGAGCAACATGGAGGGCCATCCAGAGCCAGCAGGCCTGGCTGTGACTTGCCACCTCTCCTGCCTGCTCCAGAGGAGAGTTGGGAGTGAGGCCTTTGACAGTGGAGGCGGGGTGGGCATAGCAGACTCCCTAGGGATGGCCTGAGGGGGCAGGGCCGGGGCCTCCCTGTGCCGGGCAGTGCTGACCACTTCCATCACAAGAGCCTTTTGTTCCCCGCACAGGACACATTGAATAATAATTCTCTGGGCAAAAAGCACAGTTGGCAGGATCGGGTGTCTCGATCATCCTCACCCCTGAAGACAGGTAAGTCAGGGCCCTCTTCCTTACCTGGACCTCAGCCTGCCCTGACTCAGTCCCCACTGCAGAGAACAAACCCCACAGTCTCCAATGGGCAGAGAAGAGGTAAACTGCCCATCCCACATCCCTGCACAAGCCCATCGGGCGCTAGATCAGCGGTGGCATGAGTAAGCTGACCGGCCCCAGAGTCTGCAAAGGGCCTGTTGCGCAGGGAGGCTTTGTCTTGGTTTCTGTGTCACCAAGCTGACAGTGGCGGGCGCAGGTAGCCGGGAGTTGGGTGAGGGCCCCCTTCCTCATGACCTGCTTGCTCTCCAGGGGAGCAGACACCACCGCATGAACACATCTGCCTGAGCGATGAGCTGCCCCCCCAGAGCAGCCCCGCTGCCACCACGGATCGAGGCACCTCCACCGACAGCCCTTGCCGCCGCAGCACAGCCACCCAGATGGCACCTCCGGGTGGTCCTCCTGCTGCTCCACCTGGGGGTCGGGGCCACTCGCATCGAGACCGAATCCACTACCAGGCCGATGTGCGACTAGAGGCCACTGAGGAGATCTACCTGACCCCAGTGCAGAGACCCCCAGACCCTGCAGAGCCCACCTCCGCCTTCCTGCCACCCACTGAGAGCCGGATGTCGGTCAGCTCTGATCCAGACCCTGCCGCCTACCCCTCCACAGCAGGGCAGCCGCACCCCTCCATCAGTGAAGAGGAGGAGGGCTTCGACTGCCTGTCATCCCCAGAGCGGGCTGAGCCCCCAGGCGGAGGGTGGCGGGGGAGCCTGGGGGAGCCGCCGCCACCTCCACGGGCCTCTCTGAGCTCGGACACCAGCGCCCTGTCCTATGACTCGGTCAAGTACACGCTGGTGGTGGATGAGCACGCGCAGCTGGAGCTGGTGAGCCTGCGGCCGTGCTTCGGAGACTACAGCGATGAGAGTGACTCGGCCACCGTCTACGACAACTGTGCCTCCGCCTCCTCGCCCTATGAGTCGGCCATCGGAGAGGAATATGAGGAGGCCCCCCGGCCCCAGCCCCCTGCCTGCCTCTCTGAGGACTCCACGCCTGACGAACCCGACGTCCATTTCTCCAAGAAGTTCCTGAACGTCTTCATGAGTGGCCGCTCCCGCTCCTCCAGTGAGTCAACAGGAGAAAGCAGTTGGGGGGTCTCTGGGGAGGGGGACAGAGCCAAAATGCAGAGTGTTCTGGGAGGTGGTCCCAGGCCCCATCTGGTTAGGACTGAGGCTTCTACCTGCTATACTGGATCAGAGCTGCGACCCCCCTCCTCCAGCCACACCCCCTCACCTGCAGGTGCTGAGTCCTTTGGGCTGTTCTCCTGCGTCATCAACGGGGAGGAGCAGGAGCAGACCCACCGGGCCATATTCAGGTGAGAGCTGTGGACTACATAGGCCTGGCGAGGCCACAGTTTGGGCCACACAGCACCCTCCACTTGTCACCCCTATATGGCCTCAGCCTAACCCATGCCACGAGTGTGCACCGATCCACTCAGCCCTGGGGAGATAGTGTCTACTTTCTAGGGACTCAGAGTATGGTGACAAAGTAGATGGTAGAGTGAGGGATCCCAGGACTGCGTACCTAGTCTGGCCGGGGTGCCCAGGAGGCTGCCTGCCCCTACCCCATCTGACCCTTCTCCAGACGAAAGCCTACACTTCCCACAACCTCTCCATTTTAGTGGGGTCTCCCCGTACCCTCCCTTGGCCTGTGCTTTCCTCGATGGCAGATGCATATCTGCTTGACCGTTCTTTCCCCTGGGGTGATTACTGGGACAGGCACACAGGATGCTTTTGCAAATGTTTACTGAAATAATGCCGCCGCTGTGGCTCCCAGACCCCAGAGCAGGCCTGTCTGGAAAGGCCCTGCTGCCGAATTTCTCACATGTCCTTGCTGGGGACAGGTTTGTGCCTCGACACGAAGACGAACTTGAGCTGGAAGTGGACGACCCTCTGCTGGTGGAGCTCCAGGCCGAAGACTACTGGTACGAGGCCTACAACATGCGCACTGGTGCCCGGGGTGTCTTTCCCGCCTACTACGCCATCGAGGTCACCAAGGAGCCCGAGCACATGGCAGGTAGCGTTCCCTCCCTGGCCTGTGCTCCAGCCCCCACATCTGCCTGCCCCGACTCGCTGTAGGTGAACGTATGCCCCAGATCTCAGCCAGCCAGGCCGGGGGCTGAGTGGAGGTGATTTCAGGTCCTTTTCACGATCAAGCAGTGAGGCCTGGCCAAGCTGGGCAGCTGGGGATTATGGCAGCCTCTGTGGCTCTGCTGTTCCCCGTGCCTCACCCACCCTCCTGGGCTTGGCTGTTCAGCCCCCTCCTGCTGGTTCTGCTCCTCCTCACTTCATGCTTGCTTTCCAGCCCTGGCCAAAAACAGCGACTGGGTGGACCAGTTCCGGGTGAAATTCCTGGGTTCGGTCCAGGTTCCCTATCACAAGGGCAATGACGTCCTCTGTGCCGCTATGCAAAAGGTACCTGAGCCCTCTCCCTTCCCTTGGATGGGTCCCTGGGGCAGAAGGACACAGGTGTCTAGGGGCAGTAAAGGCCTAAGGCCTCAGGCCCTGGCACAAGAGGGATCAGCAGAGGAACAGATAGCAGCTGATGTGGCTCCATTCGTCACCTACAGATTGCCACCACGCGCCGGCTCACCGTGCACTTTAACCCGCCCTCCAGCTGCGTCCTGGAGATCAGCGTGCGGGGCGTGAAGATAGGTGTCAAGGCCGATGACTCCCAGGAGGCCAAGGTGACTTCTCCCAACCCAGCCCCTTCCTTCCATGGCCCCCAGCTCTCCCCCAAGACTTGCCATGAAGCGGCCATCTCCTCTCACCCCCACCGCAGGCCGGGTGACTGCCGTCTTGCTTCTTTTCTCCCTCCTGTAGGGGAATAAATGTAGCCACTTTTTCCAGTTAAAAAACATCTCTTTCTGCGGATATCATCCAAAGAACAACAAGTAAGTGGGGTTAGGACAGCAGTGGAGGCTGCACGGGCAGTCTGCAGCCATCGGGTGGCTGTGGGCCAGCTCCACCCCACATCCCAGCACAGACCTGTCCCCGCAGGTACTTTGGGTTCATCACCAAGCACCCTGCCGACCACCGGTTTGCCTGCCACGTCTTTGTGTCTGAGGATTCCACCAAAGCCCTGGCAGAGTCCGTGGGGTACGTGTGCGTCCTGCCGAGCACACAGCCCGACGGAGCATGCCCAATCTCAGGCCCTGGGGCTGCTTCCTCGGTTTACCCTGTAGCTCTGGAGAACCATCGCCAGCTCCCAGTGCAGTGGCCTGGAGGGAGGGTGGCAGGGCGGGCCTGAGGAGCAGCTTCTAAGCTTGGTAGCTTCTGGGTCATTTCTTCAACTGGCATCTTACTGGGAAATGCAATGGCAATTCCGTAGAGAACGGAGCCAAGTGGCCCTGGCTAGAGGAACCAGAGCTGCACTCGGGCCCCCAGGCTCCAATGGGAAAACCCTGGGTGGGGATCCTGTTCCTCCCTGGCCAGTGGCGGTCCGAGCCACCTGTGTGTCCCTGGCTTCTAGGAGAGCATTCCAGCAGTTCTACAAGCAGTTTGTGGAGTACACGTGCCCCACAGAAGATATCTACCTGGAGTAGCCGCACAGCCCTGCCCTCTGCGTCTCCCGGCCCTCAGGCCAGTGCCAGGACAGCTGGCTGCTGACAGGATGTGGCACTGCTTGAGGAGGGGCACCTGCCACCACCAGGGGACAAGGATGTGGGGACCGCTGGCCCAGGGTGGGGGAGGGCGGGGGCGATGGGGAGAGGCAAATGCAGTTTATTGTAATATATGGGATTAGATTCATCTATGGAGGGCAGAATGGGCTGTCTGGGGATCGGGAGGGGGCAGGGCTGGAGGACAGACCTCTGGCAGAGAAGGATGTCCGTTCCAGGAGCACACAGCCCTGCCCCATCCTGGGCCTTACCTCCCCTGCCAGGGCTCAGGCGCTCTGGCTCCTGCCTGGATGAAGCCCGTGCCCCAACCCCCACCGAAGAGTCCTGAGCTCAGGCTGAGCCCAGCCGCCTCCCAAGGACTTTCCAGTGAGGAAATGGCAACACATGGAGGTGAAGTCCTGTTCGCAGTTCCGTCATCTGCAGGGCCTCTGGGTGGCTCCTGCCACTGACCTCACCGGCATGCTGGCCTGTGGCAGGCCTAGGAACTCAGTGGGGAGGGGGAGCTGCTGCAAGGCCCTGTCCCAGCAGGAGAGGGAGGCTTCCTGACTGACCCAGGCCAGCCCCATCTTGGTCCTGTCACCCTGGCCCCAACTATTAAAGTGCCATTTCCTGTCTGGACTGCAGTGGCTATATCTGCGAGGACCCCTCCCGTGCCCATCTCGCACCCAGCCCAGGAAAGCCAAGCCTTTGCCACGCAGAATAGCTTTATGAGGGCCTGGAGTCACAGGTGGGCATCATAGTAATATTCAGCCATGTCAGGCCCATCCCGCTTGCGCTGCTGGGCCCGGGACAGGAGGGGTCGAGGCCCTCTCGGCCATGGGTGCTTGGGGCGGACGCCATAGTCTAAAGAGAGAAAAGAGGGCAAGGGTGGTCGCCGGCCCTGATGGGACTGAAGTCACCCTTGAACAGATGTGGTTTGGGATGACAAGCCCCTGAAGGCTGGGCCTGGGCACTCTTAGGGGGTCTCCACGGTCGGGGGGTGCAGAGGAAGGGGATGAGAGAGATACTACCATCCACCAGGCCGGAAATTGGTTGCGAGAGTTCCAGGGGGGCAGAGAACGCCTCGGGAGCAGACTGCTGAGACCTGTGGGAGATGTTGGGGTGCTCGGCCCTGGCCCTGGAGGCCACTGGCACCTCCTTGTGAATGGGGAGTTGGCCCGGTGTGGGGGCACTTGGCAAGCCCTCCCACATCCAGGGTAATAGGGCCAGCCCCACTCCAGGGAGGGGAGGGCAGCACCTGTGCTGCCCAGCCCCCGGTGCCCCACCCTTCTGCCCCAAGGGGCACCTCAGAGGCTGGGAGCGAAGCAGTGCCGCCGCCAGGAGGAGATGGAGGAGGAAGAGGCTGAGCCCAGCCCGGGGGTGCAAAGCCCCCACCATGGCGAGAACCATCTTCTACACAGGTCCTGGCTCCTGTTGTCCCTCTTCTGGCAGGACGGAACCTGCTGCCAGCCCCCAGGGCCACCTCACAAAGGGCCTTCATTCCAGGCCTGTGTCAGCACCGGCTCCGGGGCAGACCCGGGGACGTCCGCCCTGAGGCTTTTGTTCTTATTTATGCCGTTGGCTAATAGGTGCTAAACCGGATCTTGTTCTAATGTTGCTGCCCAGGGAATAAGGGCACACACTGTCGAGTCAGATCTCAGCTCAGGTCCTGACCTTGCCTCTTGCTAGCCGCACGAGTCACTTCATCTGTGTGTGCCTAAGCTCACTCATCTGGAAAGTAAAGTCCATAACACATCCGACCATCTGGCATACGGTAGGCCCTCCAAAGAGGGCAGGGGATCCTCACCACCCAGAGCCCCAGCCATTCCCACAGCCTCCCCACCCCATCCTACCCCTGTTGGCATCGCAGGAGCCCAGGGCAGATCCTGGCAGCTGAGAAGCCCGGAGTGGGTCTATCAACCCTGCCCAGCTCAGGATCTCCGTGTCCTGCTGTCTCTCCCTGTAGGGAGGGCCTCTCCCTCTCCACTCCCTGCAGCTTAAAGCAGCCTCAGGCAGGTTGGAGGGCTTCCAGGCATGGTGGCAGAAGTCTGGAGCTGCCCCTCCAGTGCAGGCTTCGGAAAAGCAAGGAGGGCTTGGTTCACTGGACTCTGCAGCCTGGACAGTGCCAAGTGACCAAGTGCAGCTCGACCCTGCACTGGACACCCTCTCCTCGCAGGCCTGGGCTCAGCTGCAGGCACCACTGGAAGGCCTCTGGCTGGCTCCTGGTTCTCCGCTCAGCAGCCAGGCCCAGCCCACTTACACATGCAGTGCAAACCTCATTCACCAGAACCACCAAAAGCCTTCAAAACAAAACCCCTGGCCCCGGCCAGATCTGTCGTATCAGAACCCAGGGCTCTGAAGCTTTGCTAACCCAGTTGCCTGAGATGGCCAACTGCTGACGGGCCCAGCCGCTCTCCTGTGACCGCTGAGGGACCTGGGGGGAAGCCCTTGTTTCCAACCCTGGCTCCTCCAGTGGCCTCAATCATGCTCCTGGTCCTAACTACCCTAGAGGCTGACAAATTCTAGGGGTTCCTCAGCCCCGTCACCCTGTTATACCTGACTCAGTTCCCAGTGGTCAGTCACATCCCTTTGTAAGTCCTGGAGACAACATGTCCCCCACAAGCCTGCCTCAGCATCCTGTGTCCACCAAGGCTCGCCCTGCCAGGAACCTGGAATTCTGTCTGCTCTGCCTGACCCCAAGCCCCTTGTCCTTCCCGCTGTTCAACTCCTAGGCACCACCCTCTTCCTCCACGCCAGTCCCCAAGACTAGCTGAGGTTACCCGTTATCTGTGCGGCCACTGCCATTGCCCCCCCACTGCTACAGACCCCTACCTCTAATGTCACCGCCCCATCCTTCCACCTCTGCCCACCAAAGCATCCTCCGCAAGGCTGCTGGAGTATTTACAAACACAGGCCCCTCCCCACCTGCCAGACGAGGTCCGAGTTTCTCCATTGGGTATGTGATGCCGTGTTCAGTGTGGCCCTGACCTTCCCCTCCAGCCTCCAGCCCCACCTCCCATGGCTCCACACAGCTGTAACCCTGGGCAGGCTGCCTATGGAAAAACCGAAACAGTTCTACCCGTTTCAAGCCGAGTCAAGGCTTCGCTGGTGAAGCCTGATGAAACCCCTCACCTTTGGCAGGCAGTCAGCACAACCGGGCCACGCCCCATTCTGGGGACACCCCTCCTACCACGCCCCCAGTGTGGCACCTGCATCCACAAGCCTGTCTCCCCTGTGAGTGAGTCGGGGGTGGCCGTCGGGGAACTGTGCTTCACTGCAGGTTTCTGACAGGCACACGGTGCAAGTCTGCTATGGGGCATGCACCCAGAAACGTCTGATCCACTGAGCTGAAGTCCGGGGTAGCCAGGACAGCCCCTTCCCCTGCGTGTGGGCGAGGACCTGTGGGGTGCTCCTCAGAGGCCCCAGAGGAAAGCAGTATCTGGGAGTGTCTGAGGCATGGAGGACCTGGGTGCAGATGGAGCCCTCTCTATGGGTTTGGAACTCTGGCAGGAGTGGCTGGCTCTTCACAGGGCCAGTGGCTGAAGACAGGTTAAGGTCAGGGAGAGAAAGGCTAGCCCTTGGCCCACTCTGTCCAGGCCCTCCCACCATAGCAGCCTGCGCGGCTCCAGGTGGACCGGGGCTCTGAAGCCGGCAGGGTGAGTGGGGAACCGCAGCTCATGACCGGTGAACTGGCCTGGCTTTCTCCCCGAGCCTGTCCGGCTCCCACTCCCTCCCTAGTGTCGGCTGGTGCTGGACATTCTCCTCCCACGGGAGAAAAGCCTTTGACTCTCAACCGAGGATGAGGGCTTAAGGTGCTACTTTGTGTGGGAGCCGGGCTCACTGTTCACCAGGCTCTGTCGCAGGGAGGCTGGCAATGCCATGGCCTGGGGTGCCAGAGCCCTGCAGAGAAGGGGCATACGGGGGCCCTGGCCAGAAGACACGCTAGGCAGCGGTCAGCCCTTGCCCAGGTTCAGCCTTCCTGTCCCACCAGGGTCAGCGAGAGCGCAGCCACGTTCACTCCTTTGGCCGCCAGAGCCAGCGGCTTCCCGGGCGCCACGAAGTGAAGTCACCGCTTTCTGTGGGAGAGGAGCCTGGATCCCACTCCTAGTGGAAGCTTCTTGGCCCAGCAGTGACAAGGTGTGGGCTGCAGTGGTGTCGTCACAGGAGGGCGCAGTCAAGGGGGTCTTGGGAGGAGTGTCGGTGGCAACCAAGGCTGTGTGCCAGGCCTGGCCAGTGGGCACGGAGAGGCCGCACGCACGCTGGGACGCTGCCAGAGTCAGTTTTATTAGGGAAGGGGGGGCCCCTGCCTCGCTCCTCCCTACACCCTGCTTCCGGGAGGTCTGTCAGCCCCAATTGTAGAAGTAGATTTTCTGCCAGGTGGGCAAGTAATCCATGAGCGGCCCTGCAGTGAGAGAGGGACACATCAGAGCGGGCCAGACTCCAATCTGCGCTGTGGCACCACATACAGCACCTCACACCTGCAGCCCAGGAGCCCCACTGGCCCCCCTGCCCCACCCCTAGGGAGGCAGCATCACAGGGGACTCTGCCCCATTTATAGACGAGGACACTCAGGCCTAAAGAAGCTCATCCAGGGGAGGCACTGAGGGACCGGTCTGAGTCATGTCCAAGTCACGCAACTCAAGCCCAGTGGCCTGCTGAGAGGGGATCTCAGCAGCCTGGTGGGCCCTTTCTCTGCCATTGAAACCCCCCAGATGAGATGGACCCTTATTGCTCCAGGAAACTTGTGACCAGAAAAAAGCTGGTAGCCAATGTGGTCTAACAGTCCCCCAACCACGGGACACCCTCCTTCCAGCCACCCTGGCTCCTCTGGTCACCCTGGCCTATGCCCAGGGGCAGTCCCACCCAGTCCTGACTTCCCGACCTCCTCTCCTGACTGTGCCAAGAATCAAACTGCAAGGAGAGAGAAGTCAGGGAGATGCGGCACGCATGTGACTCCCAACGCGACAGTCATCACGTCCCGGCCCCTGCTTACTTGTGACCAGGCCAAGGCCAGGGACGTGGTCGGCCAGCAGCTGGAGCAGGAAGAGAATCCTGGCCCTGGGGGAAGCAATAAATGGGGAGCATGCTGAGTAGGGGGGTCCCTGCAAATCAGGAGGCCCAGAGGCCTTTGCTGACAACCATGCTGAACGCAGTGCATTCCAGAAGACAAGGGTGACTTTCTCGGGAGCTAGGGCAGAGCCCAGTACACAAGACGAGACCTCTGGGGCTGGCTCTGCCTCCACCCTCCACCAGCTCAGCTTTGGGGTGGCACTAACCCATAACACCTCCTCCCATTCCTCTTTCCCTCTTTTCCCTTCCACTGACATCCAACACCAAAGGCCTCTAGAGGGTCACATGTGGAGCAGTGCCCAGCCGGTACAGTGGAAGGTTGACAGAGGACAACCTCACCCTGCCCCCAGGAAGCCCCCAGTCTGGCAGAAGCGCTGGCCTGCAGAGAAACCTCACAAACCACCAATGAGAGTAGTCAGGGCCCCAGGAGGGAACACAGTGCTGAGGAGAGCACATTTTGGTTCAGGGGAAGGGGCAAGGCCCAAGGCCTTGATTTTGAATAGCTGAGGGTTTTCCACAGGGAAACTCGGGTGAGATGAGAAGGCTGATAACAACGCATAGCACTACGTGCTTACTACGCCCCACGCACTGCCGGACTGGATGCATTAGTCATTGAATCCCTGCAAAGTGGGAACTGTCACCATCCCCCCCTTACAGGTGAGGAAACGAGGCACAGGGGTATCAAATAACTTGCCCAAGGCCACACATCTGGAAGGCGGCCTGGCTCCTTGTGCAGCCTGGCTCTTTATGCTTCTGTCTGGGCAGTAAGAGGAAGGCTGGCTGGGTGTGGTAGCTCACGCCTGTAATCCCAGCACTTTAGGAGACCAAGCCAGGCCTTTGTTTCCCCAAATGATGGGGGCAGGGTCCAGAGAGGTACCAGGGCAGAGTCCAAATAGAGCAACCTTCCACTTTTCTCTTTTTTTTTTTTTTTGAGATGGAGTCTTGCTCTGTCACCCAGGCTAGAGTGCAATGGCGTGATCTCGGCTCACTGCAACCTCCGCCTCCTGGGTTCAAGTGATTCTCCTGCCCCAGCCTCCCAAGTAGCTGTGACTACAGACACCCGCCACCAGAGCCAGCTAATTTTTGTAATTTTAGTAGAGACGGGGTTTCACCATATTGTCCAGGCTGGTCTCAAACTCCTGACCTTGTGATCTGCCTGTCTCGGCCTCCCAAAGTGCTGGGATTATAGGCGTGAGCCACCACGCCCGGCCTCTCTTTTCTCTTTTAAAAAAAGATGGTGTCTCGCTCTGTCACCCAGACTGAAGTGCAGTGGCGTGATCTCAGCTCACTGCAACCTCTGCCTCCTAGGTTCAAGCAATTCTTCTGCCTCAGCCTCCTGAGTAGCTGGGACTACAGGCACCTGCCA